CCATTGCAGGTTATTACAAGATATTAAGTATAACTTCCTGTGCTGTATTTACTGTATACAATAAACTTACTGTATACAGTAAATCCTTATTACTTATCTATTTTACATATAATAGTTTGTATCTGTTAATCTCATTCTCCTATTTGTCCTTCCCTCTTTCCCTTTCTCCTTTGGTAACCATACATTTGTTTTCTATGTCTATGAGACATTTTTTAGATAGATTCACTTGTATAAATATAAGTGATATTATATAGTATTTGTCTTTGACATTTCACCAAGCATAATATTCTCTGGGTCCATCCAATGTCGCTGCAAATGGCAATATTTCATTCTTTTTCTGACTGAGAAATAGTCCACTATATATATATTTACCACATCTTTTCTACCCATTCATCTATTGATGAGCAATTAGGTTGATTCTATCTTGGCTATTGTAAATAGTGCTGCTGTGAACATTGGGGTGCATGCATCTTTTCAAATTTAATATTTTTCATTTTTTTCCAGATATATGTCCTAAAGTTGAATTGCTAGATTACATGATAGCTCTATTTTTGGTTTTAAAATAAATCTACATTCTGTTTCCCATAGCAGGGGCACCAATGTACATTCCTACCAGCAGTGTACAAGGGTTCCCTTTTCTCCACACCCTCTCCAGCATTTATATTTTGTCGTCTTTCTGATGATAGCCATTCTGACAGGTATGAGGTGATACCTTATTGCTGTTATGATGTGCACTTCTTATTAATTAGTGATGCCGAGCATCTTTTCATATGCCTGTTGGCCATCTGTATGGCTTCCTTGGAGAAATGTCTACTTAGGCTTTTTTGCCCATTCTTTGATTGGGTTGTTTGGTTTTTTTGACATTGAGTTGTATGAGCTGTTTGTGTATTTTAAATATTAACTCCTTGTCATTTCCATTTTTTGCAAATATATTCTTCCATTCCATAGAATGTGTTTTTGCTTTATTGATGGTTTTCTTTGCTGTACAAAAGTTTTTAAGTCTTAATAAGTCTCATTTGTTTATTTTTGCTTTATTTCTTTTGCCATGGAAGATTGATTTAAGAAAATATTGCTATGATTTATGATCAAGAATGTTTTGCCTATTTTGTCATCTAGGAGTTTCATGGTATCATGTTACATTTAGGTTTTTAGTTCATTCTAAGTTTATTTTTGTACACGGTATGAGGAAATGTTCTAATTTCGCTGATCTATATGTAGCCATCTAGCTTTCCCAACACCATTTGTTGAAGACTGTGCTTTTCCATTGGATATTCTTCCCCCCCCCACATTGGATATTCTTACCTCCCTTGTTATAGATTAATTGACCATAGGTACATGTTTTCATTTTTGAACTCTCTATTGTGTTCCCTTGATCTATATGCCTGTTTTTGTGCCAGTACCACACTCTTTTGATTACTGTAGCTTTGCGTATAGTCTGAAGTCTGGGAGGGTTATTCCTTCAGCTTTCTTCTTTATTTTCCCCTCAGGATTGCTTTGACAATTCAGGGTCTTATGTGATTCCAAATAAATTTTAGGATTATTTATTCTAACTCTGTGAAAAATGACAGGAGAATTCTGATTGTGATTGCATTAGATCTGTAGATTGCTATGGGTATTATGGACATTTTAACAATATTAATTCTTCCAATCTAAGAACATGGGGTATTTTTCCATTTCTTTAACTCTTCAGTTTTCTTTATCAATATTTTATAGTTTTCAGCATATAGTTCTTTCACTTGCTTGGTTAGGTTTATTCCTAGGTATTTTATTCTTTATTGTATGATTTTAAATAGAACCATTTTCTTAATTTCACTTTCTGATTGTTCATTGTTAGTTTAAAGAAAAGCAACAGATTTCTGTACATTAATCTTGTATCCTGTAACTTTACTGAATTCACTTATTAGTTCTAATAGTTTTTCTGTGGAGACTTTAGGGCTCTCTTTATAGAGTATCCTGCCATCTGCAAATACTGAGAGTTTTACCTCTTCCCTTCCTATCTAGATACCCTTTCTTTTTCTTGTCTGATTGGTGTGGCTAAGACTTCCAATACAGTGAGAGTGGGCATCCTTGTCTTATTCCTGAATTTAGCAGGAAGCTTTTGACTGTTGAGTATTATGTTTTATGTTGAGTATTTATGCCTGAGTGTCATAAATGGCCTTTATTATGTTGAGATGTATTTCCTCTATACCCACTCTGGTAGGAGTTTTTATTATGAATGGATGTTGAATTTTGTCAAATGCTACTTCTATTGAGATGATAATGTTGTGGTTTTTGTCTTCCTTTTGTTAATGTGATGTCACATTGTTTAATTTGGATATGGTAAACCATCATTGTGACCCTGGAATAAATCCAACTTGATCACAGTGCATGATCCTTTCTGTGTATTGTTGGATTCAGTTTGCTAATATTTTATTGAGGGCTTTTACATCTATATCCATCAAAGATATTGGCTTATAATTTTCTTTTTTTGTAATGTCTTTGGTTTTGGTATCAGGGTGACAATGACTTCACAGACTGAATTTTGGAGTGCTATCTCTTCAAATTCTTAGAGTAGTTTGAGAAGGATAGGTATAAATTCCTCTTTAATGTTCAATAAAACTCCCCAGTAAAGCCATCTTGTCCAGACTTGTTTGAAGGGAGTTTTTAAAATTACATATTCTATTTCATTTCTATTTATCAGCCTGTTCAAACTATCTCTTTCTTCTTGATTCAGTCTTGGCAGGCTATACGTTTCTAGAAACTTGTCCATTTCTTCTAGGTTGTCCAACCTGTTGGCATATAACTATTCATAATATTTTTTTACAACCTTTTTGTGTTTTTATAGTATTGGTTGTTATCTCTCCTCTTTAATTTCTTAGTTTGTTTATTTGGGTCCCCTCTCTTTTCCCCTTGGTGAACCTGGCTAGAGGTTTGCTGATTTTATTTATCTTAAAAAACCCAATTCTTGATTTTTTAATTTTTCTATTATTTTAATTTGTATTTAATTATTACCTTTCTCATCTTTATTATTGTTTTCCTTCTGTTGATTTGGGGTTTTGTTTGTTCTTTTTTTCCCTAATTCTTTTAGGTGGTAGGAAAGGTTGTTTATTTCAGATTTTTCTTCTTTCTTGAGGAAGGTCTCTATCACTATGAATTTCCCTCTTAGAACTGCTTTCCATAGATATTCATTCCCTTCTGTTTGACTTTTTTCATTAAACAATGTTTGTGAGCTTCATCCATGTTTCCTTGATCTAGGTCTGATTTTAAGTCATAATTTGAGTCATATTTTTAAAAAGAAGCAAGAACATTATGTAAGTTTCTCAGATTATGAGAAATGATTCTTCATAGTTTTAATGTCTGGAGAGGACTCTAATGAAGAAGGAAGAAAATTTCCTGAAACAAATATTGATATTTTGCTAAAGTTTTAGTTTTGTTTCTGATTTGGAACAGTCCTAAATCAGACATTCCTGCAGTCCTAAAAGATAGATGATGTTTCAAATTGCTGTCCTTCTGTAAAGAATTTGCAAGTCCAAATAATTTATTCAATAATAGATTTCTGTATTTCTAAGGAAGCCCATATAAAAATTCACTAATTTTACATATTTTCTATCTCCTTTGTTATTATACAAAGTTGAAGAAATTCCCTTCAAGCCTGATGAATGTCAGAGTCAAGCCTTGCGTGCTTGTGTGTGTGTGTGCTCAATCACTGAGTCACATCCAATTCTTTACAACCCCATGGACTAAAGGATGGCAGACTCTTCTGTCCATGGGGTTTTCCAGGCAAGCATACTGGAATGGATTGCCATTTCCTCTTCCAGGGGAATCTTCCTGACCCAGGGATCGAACCCATGACTCCTGCATTAGCAGGCAGATTCTTTACCACTGCACCACCTGGGAAGCCCTTAATATTTCAATCAGATACTCTATGTTTTATTTCCTCGAATAGGACCAGAATCAGGATTATTAACAGTACCAGTAAGTCACACTCAGACTTGTCGTTTCCTCCATGTAAGTTAAGTCCTAAAAAAGAAATTCTATAAAAATTTTTTTTCTTGTTTCCCATTATTTATGATTGTATTTCCATGTGACTAATTTCATAGTAAACAAAAATAATGCAAGTGATAATAGCAGGGTTAAATTAATCACTGAAATGTGTCAGCCAAAGCACTTACTTTAAATTGATTTAATAAATTTAATAAACATCTGAAAGACAAAGACTTTTTAAAATAATGTCACATTTTATTATATATATATCAGGATGCTGTGCTGTGCTCAGTTGTATCCAACTCTTTGTGACCCCATGGACTGTAGCCTGCCAGGCTCCTCAGTCCATGGGGATTCTTGCTGGAGTGGGTTGCCATGCCCTCCTCCATGGGATCTTCCCAACCCAGGGATCGAACCCAGGTCTCAAACCCAGGTCTCCTGCATTGCAGGCGAATTCTTTACCATTTGAGACACCAGGAAAGCCCAAGAATACTGGATTGGGTAGCCTCTTCCTTCTCCAGAGGATATTACTGACCCAGGAATTGAACCAGGGTCTCCTGCATTGCAGGCAGATTCTTTACCAGCAGAGCTGCCAGGGAAGCCCATATATATCAGGATATAGGGCATCAAATCAAGACAATTATACATATCATATGTTTCTTGAGAACAAGGACGTCTTCATTTCCTCTTCATTTTCCCCCTCTCTCTCCAGATGGTTCTTTTGGAGCTCTTCTACATTCAAGTTTGGTACGCAAATGTAACTTACACATCTGTCTGTTCTCTGAGTAGGATTTCTTACCTAAGTATACAGTCTTGATGATGACAGACTTGGGAAGAAGCTTGGCTTCTGCTCTCTCTCTCTCTCCTCTTAACCAAGTCAATTACATGTTTTATTCCAGACCCTCACTGGATTCGTATTATACAATTTTTTCCTAAACTGTTCTTCACAACTTGACTCATAACAATACATTCTCTTCACAGTCCCTAGAAAGGCTTTTTATAATTCAGACCTGACCATGTACCTTCTGGTTTGAACTATGAGATGTTCCCCCATGAACTCAGGTGAAAAATTAAAATTTTGCCTTAGCCTACAAAATCTCACCCTTTTCCATCTCTCCACCAGAATTTTCTCTTTGCTCACTGAGCTCTCACTGTTCAACTCAGGAATGCTCATGTGCACAAGAGTCCAGGCTCTGAATGAACGTATGCCTGCATTTTTGTTTCTGTTGTTTGCTTTCATTCTGAAAGCCCATCACCCTGTCTGCATCTGGGTGATCACTATTCCATCATTCTGGTCTTCCCGGACCTACCCTCCAGCCCTCATCTTTGGTCAGTTCAGGCCCACACAGTGACCTGGGCTTCCTCTATCTCACCATTACTACTAATAATATCTGCAACTCCACAAATGACATTAACACCTGATTCTCAGTCTTCTGCTGCCCCAAGCCAAACTGTCCTTTTATCACAATGACTCTGTGTGGCTCATCAGTTCCATAACTTAGCTTCAAAAATCACTGACCTCTTCCACTCCATTTTAGCAGCTCATTTCCAAGGTGCTTTTCTTTATCTAATCATAGACAGGACCTCACCTGACTCTGAAATCCTAAACTTTATTATAACAATCTCCAATCAAAACCTTCAATGCTTTTGCACCTTTAACTCCCTTATTCTCATAACATCTGCACTCTTACCTCATGACTTCGGCTGCAACTTTTCTAACACTACCCATTACCATGACTTTGCATGCTCCTCTACCAAAGAATATTTTATACTCATTCAGTCTGCTCCAACAGGACCTATAATTTATTCATCAATTTGCAATTAAGATTAGGCCCCCAATGCTTTACTAAAATCATGAAGCAAAGATTACCAATCCCTTCCTGAGTAACAAATCCCATAGGCTCACATCAATCCTGTTATTTCTTCATCTTTCAGTGGCATTAGCCTCTATAGCCTCCTTTTTGGCTTTTTTGTTACTATTGTCCCCCAGTCTACCTGGTTTGTCCTCCTAGTTCCCTTCATACATTTCCCCCTCCAGGAACTGTCTTCAGCCCTCTTTTCTCCCAGGCCATTTTCACACTCCTGTGGCTTCATTAATTCATACACTAGGTGACCATACAGGTGGATATAATTATCCAAATGTCTTCAAACTGGAAATATTACCTACATTTTATTGTATGTAAATTATGCCTAATTCTAGAATATAAATGCACAGAGATTCAACTCAGGGTGAGAGATGCACACAGACTGAAAGGAAGGAGATGGAAAAAGGTATTTCATGCAAATAGAAATGACAAGAAAATTGGGGTATAGAATTTAAAACAGAGGCCAAAAAGAGAAACAAAGAAGGGCGTTATACAGATGTAAAGGCCGAAGCTGAAGGAGCCACGTCCATTTGGGGCAGGATAGTCATTGTGACAGAGGCAAAAGAGAGATGGCAAACAGCATGCTGACTCTGAAAACTTCTGCTCAGAAGTGATAGAATAATAACAGATATTATCATCTCTGACTTGGACTTCAACAAATAGGAATTAGAGTGGGATTCCTTGTACTTGGTAATCAGACTTCAGCAGCCTCATTTATAGGTATCTGCCTGTGAACCTAAAAATAATTTTTAAAACAGTACAAAGAAGCTTTGGAGTACCAAGGAAAAGCATTATTATTGAGCACATGCCTTTTATTTACCGATACAGTGTAACACCTTACATAAAGCCTTAGCCGAGGTCCACTAGCTGAAAAGAGTGTCTAAAATATTTAAAGTAGAGACAAATATTGCAGGCTCAGAGCTACTGCAGACTTGGTTCCAGACTGATGCAATGAAGAAAACATCGCAATAAAGTGAGTCACACAAATATTATAGCTTCCCAGTGTGCATAAAAGTTACATTTATGCTATCCTGTAGTCTATCAAGTGTGCAACAATAGCATTACGTCTAAAAAATGTACATATCTTAATTAAAACATATTTTATTGCTAAAAAGAAACAAAATGGTAACAAAGATCACTGATCACAGAGCATGATAACAAATAAAATAATGAAAAAGTTTGAAATATTGCAGGAATTATAAAAATGTAACAGAGACATGAAATGCACATAAGCTGTTGGAAAAATGAAATGACTTGCTTAAAGCAGGGTTGCCACAAACTTTCAATTTGTGGAAAACACAGTATCTGTGAAGCACAATAAAGTGAGGTCTGCCTGTATAGTGCAATTAGGTAGCAGATGTTCAGAATCAGAGAATTTAGATGAAGACGTTTTAAAGATCATCTTCTCCTGTGCTTTTGTTTACAAATATATAAGGACTAGAGTGGTAAAAGACCTCCAGATCACCTTTCTGTGAACTAAGACTGGATCTCTGCTTGTCCTGACCCCGTGTTCCAGAGGCCTTTCCCTCCACACTTCTGGCATCTCATATCCTAATTCTGGATTGGAATGTTTAAGAAGCCAAGGATCTGAGTCATGCAATTTAAATAAATCTCCATTGGAGAGGTTAAAATTAAAGAAAAATCTGTTCCTGTTGTGAGACTTCCAGTATCTGGGGAACTGACTTCTCCGGAACAATGTGTTCCCTGATGCTGATGAATAAGTGAGGCCTCATTGTTCAATAGTTTATTTACAAATGAATCTATAGAAGCATAAAATTTAGAACTGTTCTCAATTAGTTATTCTTTCATGTTTAACTCACTCAAGTATTAAATCTTCCTCAATCACAAATTTCCTTTGGGAACAAATCTTCTGGTTTTGATAGTTCCCACTATTGAAAAGTTTTTATTGATATTTGACCTATTTTTTCCCCTTACTTTTATCCCACTTATCCTACTTATCCTGTTTAGATCAGGCCACATCATCTTCCCCAAGTGCTTATGCTTTTCATAACGTTATGACTCATCCAGGTCGTCATTTAGTTGGGCTCTCTGAGTGCACTGCTTTAGTGTTTTTATGGACCTTATTCTCTCCCTAGTATACATCTCTTGTAGTGAGATAAAAAGCCCCGGGAATACCACCATACTCATAGAGACAGGGGCTTACTGTCTTTGTGTCTTTGCTAGTAAGTGTTATATGGGGCACCTACACTAAAAAAAAGTTTTTCCTTTAACATCACATAGTACACTTCTGTCAATGTTTAGACCACTAATTTCTATGTTTTTTTTCCCATGTTTATTAGATTCCAACTAATAATAGGTTTTGTCTTTCAGATCACATTTAACAAAAAATTCAATGTATCTGTCAGTATTCCTATTTAGTAGCTACCAATATTCTTAATTTCTTCATCTGTTAATTGGAGATAAGAGCCTAGCGTGATACTTTGCACAGACACTCAAGACTTATCAACTAAACAACAACAACAGCAGATGCTCAATTATTAGTTTTTCCCCCTCTTATCATCCCCATTTTTACTTCCCACCAGAGCTTTTTCTTCCTGAAATACCCCACATACTACCTAGGCTCTGCCCTCATCCCTCAGGCTCCTATTGATTGATGCGGCAGCTTTCATTAGCACCTTCCCTGGATTATGTTATTATTTCCTTTAGTTTATAGACTTTCAGCCATATTTTCCAGCTAAGTAAAGTTTCTCTTATCCTAACAGAAAATAAATTCTTTTTGTCAGTAAATCTCAGGAGACCAGATCATGTCCTTTACTAAAATTCCAATATAACATCTGCTGAATCTTACAGTTCAAGCCAAAAAGAAGTTATTATGCTTGTAGAGTTTGATTTGTTTTTTGTAAAGGCTGGTTATATACTACTATATCACTTGTGTTCTAACAGGTGTTCAATTTATCATCACATAATCTATTCCTTCTAGAATATGGATGCAAGTCTATTTTAAAATAATATGACTTTTTTATAATTATAAAAGCTTATTGTATAAACTTTGAAAAATCAAGTGAAGTACAAAGAAAAAAAAAGAGAAGGCTAGAAGTTATTGATATATTGGGGAGATAATTCTCTTAACATTTTGATGTATGTTGCTCACATATATTTTATCTGAGTTGAATGTTCGAAGCTAGGTACCTTATTCCTTTTCTTTTAAAACAATACAGTAAACTTTAATGAGTATTATATTGTTTTCATTTTTTTATCTTTCCTCAAGTTTCCACAATTAAATTTTTACCATATAAGTCAACAAACATTAACCTCCTAAATACTGCATGAATTTAAATCATAACTCAACAGCCAATGTAAGCACATACTGTAACTCAATGGACTTCAAAAGAAGTCATTATAGATTTTAAAAATATGATTTGGGTTTTTTTATTTTCTAAAATTTCTGTTTTTCATTAGGGGCTGACTTTGAAACTCATCATTACATTCTAATGATTCTCAATTTCTACACTGCCTTGCTCTTGTTATGAATCACCAAACGTTAATAAATAATAGAAAATCCAAAATTAGCTGACATAAGGGACAATTTTGTTTTCACTGTCTTTCCATGGACAAACTTGCACTCATTTTCTTTACCTCTAATACAAAGATCCTGTTAATCTTCAACAATCCGTCCATATTTTGGTTTGGCTTTAATCTTCACTTCGCTTCCTTATTCCCATCGCCCCCTGCCAGTTCCTCTGTAATGAGTTTTTATTAAGTTGAGCATGATTGTTCATCACTGATAGAAAGTTCGGGTATTTTCATACTTTCAGAGAATTCCAATGAGGTTGACTGAATACAGATGCTGCTGCTTTTTTATGACTCACCAAATTGGCCTATGAATAAATCTGAAACATTCTTGAGAGGTTATATTTTAGCTTTGAAATGATTAGCAAGCTCATAGACAGATGGGTGGCTCTAATCTGCTAGGAGTGCCTACATTGTTGCAAGATTTAGTATGTCTAATTGTAGGGGAAGAAGTCTGTTCCACTTTTCCTTGGCTTTTTGAGACAGATACCCATTTAGACACTTTGTTGTTGGACATTTGAGGAGTTCATTGATAGGAGTTCAATTCCTATCATACAGGGCTGCACCCACACTCCTTAATTCTCTCATTCTATCTGGGAGGATCCTACCGTACTTTGAGACTCATGAGCACAGTGACTGGATTCGGTTCTTTTCTGAATTCTCAGTGTGTGATCCATTGCTTGGCATATAATTGACACTTGAGTTGAAACTGATCAATCAGATGTGGTAAAACTCCTTCCATCCCAATCTCCTTTATTCTGTATAAATCATTTCAAATGACAAACCTAGCCCCTTGGACTGCAAGGAGATCCAACCAGTTCATCCTAAAGGAGATCAGTCCTGGGTGCTCATTGGAAGGACTGATGCTGAAGCTGAATCTCCAATACTTTGGCCACCTCATGTGAAGAGTTGACTCATTGGAAAAGACCCTGATGCTGGGAGGGATTGGGGGCAGG